TCTCAGCCTGGTGCCCACACTAAAGGACGGACAACTCTGCGGAAGTGGGAGCGGGTACCTGTCAAATTCAGGTACCCGCTTCCCCTCCCTCCCCCCAAGGTACGCAGTCTTAGTCATCCCCTGTACTGTCTGCAGTCTCTGGTCATCCCCTGTACTGTCCGCAGTCTCTGGTCATCCCCTGTACTGTCTGCAGTCTCTGGTCACCCCCTGTACTGTCCGCTGTCTCTGGTCATCCCCTGTACTGTCCGCAGTCTCTGGTCATCCCCTATACAGTCCGCAGTCTCTGGTCATCCCCTGCACTGTCCGCAGTCTCTGGTCATCTCCTGTACTGTCCGCAGTCTCTTGGTCATCCCCTATACTGTCCGCAGTCTCTTGGTCATCCCCTATACTGTCCACAGTCTCTGGTCATCTCCTGTACTGTGTCTGCAGTCTCTGGTCATCCCCTGTACTATGTCCGCAGTCTCTGGTCATCTCCTGTACTGTGTCCGCATTCTCTGGTCATCCCTTGTACTATGTCCGCAGTCTCTGGTCATCTCCTGTACTGTGTCCGCAGTCTCTGGTCATCTCCTGTGCTATGTCCGCAGTCTCTGGTCATCTCCTGTACTGTGTCCGCAGTCTCTGGTCATCTCCTGTACTGTGTCCGCAGTCTCTGGTCATCTCCTGTACTGTGTCCGCAGTCTCTGGTCATCTCCTGTACTGTGTCCGCAGTCTCTGGTCATCTCCTGTACTGTGTCCGCAGTCTCTGGTCATCTCCTGTACTGTGTCCGCAGTCTCTGGTCATCTCCTGTACTGTGTCCGCAGTCTCTGGTCATCTCCTGTACTGTGTCCGCAGTCTCTGGTCATCTCCTGTACTGTGTCCGCAGTCTCTGGTCATCTCCTGTACTGTGTCCGCAGTCTCCGGTCATCTCCTGTACTGTGTCCGCATTCTCTGGTCATCCCTTGTACTGTGTCCGCATTCTCTGGTCATCCCTTGTACTATGTCCGCACTCTCTGGTCATCTCCTGTAGTACGACCGCAGTCTCTGGTCATCTCCTGTACTGTGTCCGCAGTCTCTGGTCATCTCCTGTACTGTGTCCGCAGTCTCTGATCATCTCCTGTACTGTGTCCGCAGTCTCTGATCATCTCCTGTACTGTGTCCGCAGTCTCTGGTCATCCCCTGTACTGTGTCCACAGTCTCTGGTCATCTCCTGTACTGTGTCCGCAGTCTCTGGTCATCCCCTATACTGTGTCCGCAGTCTCTGGTCATCCCCTGTACTATGTCCGCAGTCTCTGGTCATCTCCTGTACTGTGTCCGCAGTCTCTGGTCATCTCCTGTACTGTGTCCGCAGTCTCTGGTCATCTCCTGTACTGTGTCCACAGTCTCTGGTCATCTCCTGTACTGTGTCCGCAGTCTCTGGTCATCTCCTGTACTGTGTCCGCAGTCTCCGGTCATCTCCTGTACTGTGTCCACATTCTCCGGTCATCCCTTGTACTATGTCCGCATTCTCTGGTCATCCCTTGTACTATGTCCGCAGTCTCTGGTCATCCCTTGTACTATGTCCGCAGTCTCTGGTCATCCCCTGTACTATGTCCGCACTCTCTGGTCATCTCCTGTAGTACGTCCGCAGTCTCTGGTCATCTCCTGTACTGTGTCCGCAGTCTCTGGTCATCTCCTGTACTAAGTCCGCAGTCTCTGGTCATCTCCTGTACTGTGTCCGCAGTCTCTGGTCATTTCCTGTACTGTGTCCGCAGTCTCTGGTCATTTCCTGTACTGTGTCTGCAGTCTCTGGTCATCTCCTGTACTGTGTCCGCAGTCTCTGGTCATCTCCTGTACTGTGTCTGCAGTCTCTGGTCATCTCCTGTACTGTGTCTGCAGTCTCTGGTCATTTCCTGTACTGTGTCTGCAGTTTCTGGTCATTTCCTGTACTGTTTCTGCAGTCCATTGGTTCAGAATATTTTTTTTTCTTGTTTTCCACCTCTAATACTTAGGTGCGTCTTATGGAACGAAAAATATGGTATATAAAGAACAAAAAGATTGATTGTTGCCAATATTAACCAGTCAGGATCCTTGTGAACCTGTATTGTGAAAACTTTGGGTGTCTCTCCAGGTTTTGATCAAAACTCGGTGACTCCCACTGATGGTACTGGCTTGGGAAGTGAAAGGTTGTCGTTAGCCCTGGCTATCTGTCTTGATCAGTCTGTTGAAGGTATGGACGTCCAGAGGACTAACTTCACCCAAGTAATAGACAAGTGCACACAGTGATAGGTGAAATCAATCTCTCTCGTTTATTAGCGGGAAGAGGATTAATATAACAGAAAAGAAAGGGGGGGGCACAGAGTATCTGGGCAAAAAGCTACATTGTCAGTAATTGATTGGCTGAATACAAATAATACAAGCATTCTGAATAATGATGAGAAGCAAAATTTCACTTTCCCAGGAATAAGGAAAGTATCTAAAATAAAACAAAAACCTATCTGCTACATACAATAGAATCTGGCTAGATACTTGTCAAGGCTGTGAGCATGATTTTTCTCAGGCTTTATAATCAGTTACAAGTAACCAACAATTATTTTCCCATGGGACAGCAGTATTTGACTTATAATTATATCATAACAGGAACAAGTGTTGTTAGTACAAAGAAATAATTGGATACTTTCTCTGCCTCTACCAAGGCTAAGCTAAGATAAGAAATAGAAGAATATTGTGAGTATAATTCTGTAACACATAACTGACACAGCATATTTTCATTAACTCATTCTGGGTATAATACAAAACAATTAATCAACATGTTAGTACAAAATATAAAATGGAGTGGGAGAAAAACAAAATGACAGACCTAAAAAACATACATTTCCCTTCAATCCCCTCTTATAATCATTATTTACACATATGATTTTAATTCCCCCTTATACAACATAGTTCTTTTTCTGCTTCTCTCTGTATTTGGCTAGATAACTATTGTACTCTTTGGGTTTTGGGTTCAGTGGGGCAGTTTGTTCTTGGATTTCTTCCTCGTACATAGTCATATCTATACCTTTTGTTCATAAGCTTCTTTATACAGGGAATCACACAGCACACTATCAGGGCTATAAGTATCAGGGTGACTACAATAATCACTCCTATTTGTGCTAGCATCTGCTTCCATCCCTTGAGCCATCCAAAATATTGATCCCATGGGTCAGTGATCCCTGAATTCCTTTTCAACTCTTCCGACAAATCAGACAGTTTTTTTATAGCCATAGTGACCTTGCCATTTGGTCCAGTGTTGTCTGGGATGTAGGTACAGCAAGTACCTGTTCCTTTTATCATTGCACACACACCACCCTTTTCTGCAAGCATCATATCTAAGACCATACGATTTTGAAAGGTCATGGTAGAATCAGCCTGCAACTGCTTCGCTATCCCCTTCAATGCGTCCCTGGTGTAGTTGACAAACTTCTGTTGATTGTAATATATATAATTTATCCAATCAACATTCTTATTGACGGTGATTAAAATGATTGACTCAAAACCTGCTTTGACCTGGTCCCTGGCCTTAAACTCATCTGGGACCCCTCTTGGAACCCCTATGGCGTCTATATAAACATGTGGGTCAAAACTACCCATCGGGGCTTCCCTCTTGTACCTCTGAGTACCTCCTGTTACTTCTTCAGGGATCTCAGAGGGAATTTAACTAAAGATATGCAGGGGCATAATAGCTTTGGCCAAAAAACACTCACCAGACCACTCCTTCTCCAATCTAGACCTGATCATACCATCACCGCAAATCCAGTAGATATCGCCTAAAGATTGTGTCGGATTCTGTAAAAGCCTAGATGAGATGTTGCTGTATGTGTGACAAAAACCTTTTGTAAAATTTCCAAAACTTCTCTTTTTTGCCACTCCTCTATAGCAGGTATAATTCCCTGGGTAAATTTGCAAGCCTTCGCCTGGTTTGGGGTTTTTGATGATGACTATGGGATACTTTTGCTTTCCAGGTTTCACAGGAAGCATTCTTGTCATGTGTTCCTGTAAAAAGGCTTAGAAAACATTCTTCAACATCTTCAGGAAGGTTTAGTGGCACTGTTCCCACATGGGGTCTGGCTGCTCCACAGACATAACAGTTAGACTTGTTGTACTGCAGGGCACTGTACCTCATCCATTCTAACCAAAGATTTACATCTGAAAATCCCGTCTCCACTGCTACGGTATCTTCAAAAGAAGGATCAGCAATGGCAATCATAGTACTGATGCGTGGCTTCAGGGGATTGTAATCTTTGTTATTATGCATGTCTTGTATCCTAAATTGCCCCCCTTGTACCCGATATATCTCCTCCCCAGTATAACCCAAATACATACATTCCCGAATCACTAGGGCTGGGATTTTCTATGGTAAGCGTATATTTGGCATTGGGCTTGGTAAGAGTCATTCTGTTTATGAGGGATTTTCCGTTCTTGTCCTTCTTATTTATGGCTGTATCAGGTTTGTATCCCCAGTCAGTTCCTATGTTCCATCCCACTGCTCCCCAATAATCACAGTTACTCCCCCCAATAATCATCAGTTACACAAATGTAACCTATTTCCCTCCCTCTTATGCGCCCTTTTCCTGCTACTCTCTTCATCCCCTTTTTCTGTTAGGTCGTTATAGGTGAAAGAAAAGGTAGCAACATAGGTATTAGAAGAGTCAAACCACAATGTAATAATCTTCCCCTCTCTGGTAATAGCAACCTTTGGTTTCTGTGCTGGTACATTGGTTTCTCTTTTGGTCCTAGTGTGTATTGGGTGTGCGTTTTCTGAGGTGTTTTTATCAAATGTGTGTTTTTTTCTGAGGTGTTTTTAGCATTGTTTTTGTGAACACATATAACCTGAAGAGCACCCAAATCCTCTGGGGAGTATATGCAGTTAGTCACTGTCCATACTGGGGTAAACACTAAAAATGTAATCACTCCCAGCAGAATCCATAGTTTGCCAGAGTCCTTGGCTAGTAGAATGCTCATCTTGATTATTTTCAGAGGCTTTGTTACCGGCTTCACTCACTCTTCAAGGATTTGTATCACCTGCTTCACCTCCTTTAATAAACAGCACCTTGTCCTGTTCGAGGTCAGGGCTTTCTGCCCCCGTTAGTACCTCCTTTCTTTGATTGTCCTGTTCAAGGTCAGGGCTTTCTGCCCCCGTTAGTACCTCCTTTCCTGTTTCCCTTAGGTCTGGTCCTGGGCCTTTCCGACCAGCTTCGCTATGAAAGCATGGATCCAGGTGGGGCTATGTTCAGTGAGGACTGCTGTTCTGGTTACTGCTACGACCGTAGTTTCTGGTCCATAGGCGAAATCCTGCTGTTTCTTGTTTCTCGTCAGTTGTTTCACCACAGTACGATCTCCGGCCTGGAACGGGTGGGTATTTTCTTGTGGAAAAGACGGAAGCTTGCGGATAACATCGTTCTCAGTTTTTATCAGTATTTCAATAAACTTCCTTACATATTCATCTCTGATATTATCATAGTTGTCTCCTGTCATGAATGTATCCCTGGCCCAGGGGGTAGGGAATGGTCTTCCCATAAGAATTTCAAAAGGTGAGTATCCTGTAGTCTTGTTTGGTGTCATCCTAATTTCTGCCAATATAGCTGGGAGATACCTTTTCCAGTCATTATATGTGCCTCCTGTTGCCTTCCTTAACTTATGCTTGATAGTCCTATTCATCCTTTCCACTATCCCTGAACTCTGTGGGTGATATGGGATGTGAAATTTCCACTCAATCCGCAAAGATCTGGCCAGCTCCTTGCTGATCTGGGAGGTGAAGGCTGGACCTCGATCTGAATTGATCTGTAATGGCACTCCCCATCTAGGTATTATTTCCCGTGTGAGCAATCTAGCCACAGTTTTGGCATCTTCTCTTTTTGTGGGGTACATTTCTGGCCATCGGGAAAACACATCTGTGACCACACAAGCTGGTTGTTGTTCTCCCTTTGGTTGGGGTATGTGTGTAAAGTCAATTTGAAGATGTGTAAAAGGTGTTGTGGGGTAAGGCAGGTGTTGATACATGGCTTTATTTGGGTTGTTTGGGTTACTCCTGATACATGTGATGCATCTTTTCACATAATCTTGTACTAACTCCGCCACTTCTGTGATATAAAAATCTTTTTGGAGTTGTTTTAGGGTTGTCTTCCATCCTATATGTCCTATCCCATGGTATTGTGCAATGTATATCGGGGCGGTACACCGTGGGATGCATGGTTTCCCCTGTTTGCAGATTAATCCAGTCTTTGGATTCTTCTGTAAAATAGGATAGCACCAGTCTTTGAGCTCTCTGTGTGGAAGCTGACTGCTGCAACGTTGTGATCAATTGGGAATCATCTGGGAGGATGGGGCAAAGAGTGGGCATCTGCAGTAAAGCAGGTTGATGTTGAGCCGCCTTTTTTGCTTCATAATCTGCTAGAGCATTACCTTTTTGTTATATCATCGTCCCCTTTGGTATGTGCTCTGCAGTGTATGACAGCAAGTTCTTTGGGAAGTGTGAGAGCCTTGAGCAAATTGGCTATTAGTTGGGAATGGGCAATCTTTTTCCCATCGGCTCCTATGTAGCCTCTGAGAGACCATAATACACCATGGTCATACACTGTTCCAGAGGCATATTTGGAATCCGTGTAAATAGAGACAGACTGGTCTTTGTACAATTCACATGTTCTAGTGAGAGCAATCAATTCAGCAGCCTGGGCTGATTGAAAAGGGATTGGTTTTGCTTCTATAACGGTGTTCGGGAGTTTAACTACAGCATATCCGACATGGTAAGTGTTATCGTTGGGCCTAGTGCAGGAGCCATCTACGAAAACAACATCGGCATTTGGGATTGGAATCTTTGATAAATCTAGTCTGGGTGAAGTATTAGCCTCAATGGATTTGAGGCAGTCATGAGCCTCGGGTTCCAGATCGTTTGACGATTTGAGACCCAACAGTGCGTTTAGGATCATTGCTGGACCTGAGTTGTTTGCGCTATACTTGATATGCAACATGGGGTTGCTCATCAAAATGACCTCATATCTGCTGAGTCGTTGGGAGGACATGTGCTGAGTGTGTATACCCTTAAGAAGAGTAACTACATCATGTGAAGTATGAAGTTCGGTGGGGTGGCCTAATGTGAGAGCAGTTGACATTCCCACTATCATAGCACATGTCGCTAACGCCCGCAAACATGAGGGGAGTCCCTGGACTTGGAGAGGCATGACCTTTGAAAAATAAGCTACAGGCCGTAGCTTGCCACCGTGTTCTTGTGCCAGCACGCCCGCCATGGTTTTACAATTTTCTCTAGCATACACATGAAACACAAGTTTGTAGTCTGGGAGTCCTAAACCTGGACTGACAATCATAGACCGTTTTAAAGTTTGAAAAGCTTGTAACATTTCATTAGACCAGTGTATGGTGTCTGGGGCATCTTTCAGGGTGGCTTGTCTTAAAATGTTGTCATAATAGGAGCAGTCAGCGATCCACTGCCTACAGTAGTTTATCATTCCAAGAAAGGACAGCATTTCCTTCTTAGTTTGTGGGGTGACCAGTGTCACGGATCGCCCGGTCACCGCCACACCAACATGCGACAATTGCACGACCGCGACTAACAGTAATACGTTACGCCCACGGCGTCAGACCCCAGACCTTCTCACCAAACTCGTGACCGAAGGACTGGCCGATCTAAAACCGCGGTGTGACGCGCGTAACAAGGCCCCACCCAGCTGCACCCTGCACAGCGATTGCCCAGCTAATGGACTACAATCGGTGCCTGCAGCCTGAATGCGCTTGTTACTGGGTCGGGTTAACTACGCAACTAACCCTTCTACTGCCACCACCATCTTGAAATGTACAAGGAAGACGGACTCTGTCAGAAATACACTATAATGATTGAAATGTCACATGTCTAATATGGTCAATTGGGCAGGGAGTAAACAAACACAGTAGCGTCTCTTCAAAAGGAAGGAATTCGTGAATTGCAGGTAAGCGCTTAAAAACAGTTTAACACTTTCAAAAAGAAAGATTTATTACTAAAAGAGTCAAACAGGTGCAATAAAATATTTACAAAGAGATGTCACAAAAATATATATATATATGTATATAAAGACACAGCAAAGAGACAATAGGGAGAAAATTACAGGGTTAAGTTACTTGCCCTTAGCCTGGGTTTGCAGATCCAAGTTGCAGAGCAGGATGGTTCTTTCTCTCCTCCTTCGATGTTAGCTGGGAGATCTCTGTGTACAAAAAACTAGCTTTCAGGCTTGCAGCCTGTTCTTTTTTAAAAATCCCTCTGCCAGGGGGGATGGCCTTGAGTCTGCCCAATACAATATGTTGGGCAGAATGTCAGTGGACTCTTAGTTAAAACTAACAGCTTCATAACTCAGGATATGAAACACACAGTTGACCTGAGGAATGTTCAATTAACTTTCAAGTCCAGGAGAAAAGCTATCTTATCTTGATGGGGGAGAAAGTTACACTTCGGCAAACTGCTGCACCAAACTAGGGATGCTTAACCTGGGCTGACCCACACCATCTGTCAGGAGATAACGTTTGCCTCTCAGGAAGGGAGGGGTAGGTAATGAGGGCTGAGGAATGCTTCCACTACGAGAAAAGAAAAAAAGGGGAACTCCGCGTCCACCTCTGATGAGCAAGTTTGCTACAACCAGGTCCACGATGGCATGGATGCGCTCAGGACTGATTTTCCTTTGACCTTTTGTGAAGACACAGCCCAAATATTGTACTTGCCCCTTATACCACTGCAACTTTTGCTTAGACACTTTGTGACCACATTTTCATAACCATAACATCAGTGATTCACTATCTGATTGGCAGGATTCCCAGGACTTACTACAGACCATCAAGTCATTGACGTACTGTAGTACTACCGAACCTTGGGGGGGTTGCCAGGGCCTTAGAGTGGACTGTAAAACAATGCTTTATACCACGGGACTGTCCACAAAACCTTGAGGCATTCTGCACCAGGTCAGTTGGTGCCGCCCATCAAGGGAAAAGGCAAAAATGGGTCTTGTCTCCTTGTCAACTGGGACACTGAAAAAGGCGTTTTTAAGATCAATTACAGTAAATATTGCTGCGTCATGTAGTATGCGAGTGAGAAGGGCATTTAGATCTAGTACTATGGGGGCTATAGGCTGCACCAGGTCAATAACCACTCTCAGATCTTGTACAAATCGGTATGTACCACTGGGTTTCTTTACCGGGTTCACAGGGGTATTATAGGGAGAGATAATCTCCTCTAGAACACCTTCCTGTAAGAACCTCTCAACCATTGGGGTGATACCTTCAATTTTCTCTTGTGACAGAGGATATTGTTTTTGAAACACTGGGGCCACATCCGGTTTATAGGTGACCCTGTATGGGGTACAGGGGATTAGACCCGTGTCAAACTCTTCTGTAGCCCATAATTCTTCTGGGAGATCCTGGAAAGCCAAGATCTCGGGTAGGGCTTCCTGATGTTTGCCTCTGGGGATTGAGATGGGAACATTGGAGATTCTGCCTGTAATCCCCCACCATGTGGGGAGACTGAAATGGAAAGACTTAATTTGTCAAAGAGGTCTCTCCCTAGTAGATTTACAGGGCACTCTGGTATGATCCTAAACACGTTTGGTTACCACATCTCCTGCATCTGTTGTAATGATGAGGGGTCTCGTGCAGTAAGTTTTTGTTGGTATCCCATTTATACCCACAGAAGGCTCCGACTTTCCTCTGGGACCATCATAGTGTTCTTCAGATATCACACTAGTGATTGCCCCAGAATCAACGAGGAATGGAATGGAGGATCCATTGATGTTGAGAGCAATCAAGGGAGCCTCCCTCCAACTGTCAGTGATCTGAGGAAAAGTTGGGATACCGGCCTCCGGGCCCCATCAGAAACATGGGGTTTGGTGGTTATTCCAATCTATGGGGAACTGAGGTGGTGCTGGCTTCTGTGTGATTATTGCGCTTTCATTCCTAGGTTGTTGTTTCTTATTGGGGTTGTGGACAGTCTCTAGCCCAATGTCCTGGCTTGCCACAGTTATAGCAAACCTGTGGGTCCTGGACCGGCGAGAAATCAAAGTTGCGGTGAGTTTGGGGTTGTTGGCATTGATTTGGGGCGCTTCTACCTGTCTGTCCACCCCCTTTTGCCTCTTCCACGGGGATGGGTTTCTCTCCGTAGTGCGAGGATATTGTTGTTATGTGTAGAGGGTGTTGTTTTCTTGATATCAAAGCATCCTGCAGCTTCTCTATCATAAAGTTGTTTCTGAAAATCATCTAGTGTATCGGATGTCCATGAGGGAATCATTTGCCTGATTGGGACCGTCAAGTGTGGCAGGGTGTTACTGATCCATGTTGAAATCAGGAGGCTGGCATTATTAGTCTTTTCCAGTCCTGCTTCCAACAGGCATCAAATCTCCTCCAGAATTCAGTAAGGGTCTCAGAGCCCTTCTGTTTACAGGCTATAGCAGTGGAAAGGGAGGATCTGGTTTTAAAGATCTCTGTCATGTGGTCAGTAATTTCCTGACACA